GAATTTTCCCATAACCATATGAGCAAGCCTCAGGTTTTCACTGAATTTAACACAGCCTTGCTTGTCAAAAGGTAATCTCATACAGGTTGTGCTGCAGCCTCTACCTCGCCTAGGTCTCATTAGTGGACATAGAGGGACTCGAACTCTGGGAGTGCAACATATAATTCTGACACGTTAATCACTTCGCCAGACTGCCACGAGTGCCCTTGGATCACAGAGCCGAAGGGAATTTCTACAAATATTTTATGGCGGTATTGTGTTCGGATAACAACTTCTGTATCGGTCGGAGAGTTTCTCCTTATTGACATTATCACATAACCAAAAAACCTTATAACAGTTTGATTTAGAAAGGGCGTTCGAAAATTATATCAAAATAAATTACCAAAAAAAGTGTTAGTATTTCTTTAGACATGGTTGCGGCATTTCAATTTCTTCAGTAGTCCGGTCATTTTTTTATAAAACTGGTTGGATGGTAGCATCAGGAACTTAGATGTAGATTTGTCTAATTTCATGCAGTGCTCAGATAGGATTCTTCAGCTAAACCTCGTAGTTGCCCGTAGAAATGTACCAGTTAAGGTAAAATATGTACTATTTACATCAATCTCGTGATTGACATTTTATTTAGATAGATAGAATGAGCTAAAAACCAACGTTTGGTAGGACATTAGGACTTCACGGATAAACAGAAAAAAGGAATTCAGTGTAAATTAACACAACAAACAACATCCCGCATATGAGGAATGAGTGGAGGAAACTAAGCAAGAACTTGCTCTCTCTATAAGATAGAATCAAGGAGGGGAAGAGAGAGAAGAACGAGTCAGGCTTCACTAATTCTGAGTCTGATTTGGACTGCAACATGCCGACTGACCCATGAGTATTGCACACAAAGCACATGCATCAAAAGCATAAAACACGTGTCAGCATCACATGCTTAAACGATATTTTACTTGTGTAAGGAAAAAGCTGAAGCCGCATTGAAATCTTATTCAGCAATTAAATTCCCTTATTTGCAAGCATTTGAGGCAAGCAGGGGATGCCTCAAAAGAGGTATAGGAAGTAAGTAAGATTCCAGCTGTCCACCTTTCTCGGCTTAATTCTTTGATGAAGTTTTCGTAAAATATGATTTCTGGCTATAAAGATGCCTGTTACATGACAATCCAGCAGTTTTATCTCCGAGGCAAGCTGATTGGTTTACGGTAAAATAACATTGTTTGAGAGATTTTAGTTTCGTATGAAAGAGCACGGATAAGAGATTCAAAAGTCGATCTCACCAGAAGAGGATGACTGATTCCCATTGTACTGCAGCCGCTTGGC